CTTCAAATCAGGTATGAAGTTTTTATATGCTAAGTCTTGAAACGGAAATCTCAAACATGCCAGTTAGGTAACATAATTATAATGACGCTGTAAAAGGGGAAAGTTTCCGAGTTTACTGATAGTGAGATGCAATTGAGACTGACAAGATTATAATTCACTGTGGTATTATAACACATTGTCGAACTGTAGAATCCAGTAACAACCAAAGTATAAATATTACGTTTTTTTGTTCCATATTTATAGATATAATACATTTAAAGCTCTAAGCCAACAAAAATTTTATCTCTTTATTCTATATAATTTTTCTACTAACTTGGCAAATTTTAATTATGTTTCATGCTATCCATTTTATATCTATTCATTTCTGACCCTAAAAATTCCAGCTGCAAATTTATATCTCTGAACAATCCTGCTATTAATCTACTAAGTATGTTAATTCCTGAGCTTTAAAGTAATCACTGAAAGCATCACAGGCACTAATACACTAGTATTTTTATTGAAATTGTATTTGTACATAAAGGGAACAAATATGCAAAATAAATATTGTGTTCACCTCCATTTCAAAGGGAGTTAGAGCACCAGGAATTTCAGTATCAGAGACCTAACATCTTTAACCCATTGCTAACCAAGGGAATGGTCAAGATCCTACCAGTTACTCTGCTCTGCAGGCTAATTTTTTTGTTAATCTTTGGTTTCTAAATTTTAAAAACTATTTGAGAAAGTGATGCAGAATTTCTTAGTTATAATCTGTATTAGTTATCTATTGCTACATAACAAACTTCCTCAAAATTTAGTGGCTCAACACAGTAATAATTTATTATCTCTTATTTTTCTGTGCGCCAATAATTTAGGAGTAACATGGCTGGGAAACTCTGGCTTGAAATTTATTATAAGGTTTCAGTTAATTTGTTTCCTGGGGCCTCAGTCATCTAAAGGCTTGACTAGGATTGGAGGCTCCACTCCAAGATGGCTTACTGATATGGCTAGCAAGGTGCTGCTGGCTGTTAGTGGTAGATCTTAGTTCCTCTCCGCATGGGTGCCTCTCCACCAGACTACTTGAGGTTCCTCATGGCACAGGGACTGGCTTCCCCAGAGCACATCATCCAAGAGATCAAGGTGAAGCCTCTAATGCCTTTTAGTGCTAAGCCTTGGAAGTCACATACACACTGTCACTTCTGTATTGTTCTATTTGTCGCACAGGTCAGCACTGATTCAGCGTAGGAAGGGACTACACAAGGGTATGAATAGTGGGAAGTTAAGATTTATGGCTATCTTGGATGTTGGTTACCAGAGTCCACCCTCTGAGACACAAAGATTCGTGTCTCTTCCACATTAAAAGTACACTCATCTCCTCCCAAAGGCCCTCCAAAGTTTCATCCCATTAGAGCATCTGCTCAAAATCCAGTAACTCATCATCTAAGTTAGGTTCACACCAAAATGAAGCTCCTGGGGGAGTCCAAGAGCAAAGGAAGCCATTCAGGTACAGTTACTCAAATATAGCTTCTCATCTAAAGACCTGTGAACAAGTTTTATGCCACCCACAAATGCAACATACAATGGTAGGCTAGGCATAAAGTACCACTTTAGACTCTCTGGTTCAAAAGGGGAAAGATAAGAGGCATGCAGAAGTAACTGGACCATAGCAGTTCTAAAATCAGTCAGGGACATGTTATTAGGACTCAGTCCTACTGTTTCTTAGAAATGATTCTCCATGGCTCTGGGCTCTGCCTTCTGGGTTCTCAGTTCTACCACTCTGATTCATACTTCCCGTCTTCATAAAAGGTAGCCTGTGTTTACAGCTGTGTATTTTTCTGCCTGTAGAAATTTAGGGTATAAAGACCTCTTTCATTTTGTACCATCTCTGGCCCTTTTAATCCAAGCTGGTGCTGTTACCACTAGTACAATTCACTCGCAAAATTGTGGGCTTCCTTTGAATGTTTTTCAGGTTTACTCCATTACACAAAAGCTACATCCACAATCTCGTAAAGATAAGCTTTTTGACATTGGGCTTCTGCTGACCTGCTAAGGGAAAAATGCCTTAAGAGTATTAAAATCCCTATTGTTTAACTCAGAGGATGTGTAAGACACACCAGTAAGATGCCTAAAGGTTCTTTTGTCTGACTGAACGGTTCTTTAAGGCACACCTAATACATTTTGGAGGTCTTAACATGGATTTTACAGTCACACCTCATTGTCATCTTTAGATTATGTTTTACTGGTAATTGATCATTGCCTGGAAGTGTGTTCTTAATTTTTGCATTGTTTCCACCTGGAGAGACTGGAATTGAGAAAACATTTTATTTTCAATTCCATCAAATCTTGGCTTCTTCATATATAACAGTTTTTCTTTAGCTTTTCTCTCTTCTTTTCCCCTTTTTACTATAAGCAGAAAGAAGATGCCAGCCAGCACCTTCAATACTCTGCCTGGAAATCTCTTTAGCTAGATTACACAATTTATTAAGTACAAATTTTCTTTCCACATTATCACAGGCGACAGTGTTGCTAAACTTTTCACTGCAACATAGCAAGGATGCAGGTTTCTCCCATTTCCAATAATATTTTTCCTCATCTTCCTTTAAGCCATTACTGACAACCTCCTCAAGAGCCATCAGATTCTGCTAACAGTCATTTTAAAGCCCATACAATTTACTTGGACATCCCAGTCCCCAAGTCACTGACACATTTTAGGTTTTTGTTACAGTTCTCTCCCAGTACCAAATTCTTTCTTAGCTATTTATTGTTGCATAACAAATCACCCCAAAATTTAATAGCTTAAAACCATGATTTATTATCTCTCATGGGCCTCTCCACAAGCTTCCTCAGGGCATGATGACTGATTTTTCAGAGTTACCAATCTCAGAGACCAAGCTGACTACTGGCCTTGGAGGCCACACACTGCCACCACTTGCACTGTTTTCGATGGACCACAGAGGTCAGCCTTAATGCGGTGTGGAAGGGGACTACAAAAGGTGTGAATACCAGGAGGCAGGGATTAGTGGGGTCCCTGTTGGAAATGTTAAAGATAATACAAGGAGAGGAAAAAACCCTAAATTTTCAATGGACATAGTAGTTTGTCCTACAATTATCTTCTAGAATGTATCTCATGTAGAAAAATGAAAAGACTTGACAATTTCAAACTCCAAAATTCATCAGGGCCAAACCGAACATTGTTATGAGTGACTGATGAAGTCTTGTTTTATGAACCTAGTTATACCCAATCCTTAGTGATCTGTGTGTTACGCAGCTGCCTTGCTTCAAAGAAGGTCTTGTTCTCACAAATGGATCTACTCATTTTGGAATATTTCAAAGCTAGCGTGGATATTTAGAGACTCAAGGATTCAAAAAACAGAACCAAATGACGTCTCGTTAAAGATAGTCAATAAAGTTACAGCTGGCTGTTTTTCCTCTGCTAAGTTTAGACATTGAACTCCATTCAATTTTATCTTGATTAAACAGATTGAAAATCATATGTATGCGTACAACTAGCCTAAATAGACTACTTATCCAAGATCAGCAATTTTCTGAGGGGACTAAGTCAATGCAAATGAAAAAAAATGTGACTTAGAAAAAAATATATGTATAAGCCATATGTTTGACATTGAAACAGAGTCTTATATTTAATTTTTAAGTCAAGAAATTAAGTATAATCCTATTTTTACATAGTACTCTGTTGGTGGAAAATGATATACACCTCTGTGATTAACCCTTAAAGGGGATTCAAATGATGATTATTAGGCTTTAAATATTGTAACCCATTAATAGCGGGAGAAAGGAGTTTTCTATTGTCCTAAACTACTCTTACTGGTCAAACAGAAGACCAAGAAGAAGTTTTTAGAAATCATTTAATGATCAATTTTTTTTTAAAAACGTTTGTTTAAAATTCTGTTTTATCTAATTAACAGCACATCTTGGTCCCAACCCATTCTGTATCAATTGTTTTTTGCTATAGATATAATATTAGACTGAACTTAATGTGTGAATAACTTCAGATTTTTAAGCCGACAACTTTGTACAGTTTAACTTTGTTCTGATAGGTGAATTTCGTGTGGGGAACAATATGAAAAATAGATGTTTTTGGAGACTTTCTGGAGATACTTAATGGCATCGAGAAATACTATTTCCTATGGCCTACAAATTTTCTATGCATAATAAGAACTATTTCTATTCAAAAGGCATAATGGTAATTGATTAGTGGTGCTATTTTAAAGTTATTTTGCAATAAAATTTTTAACGTCTGATTTCAAAATTGGTATATGTATATTCTATTCCCTAACAGAACCAGTAGCCTTTGCTCTCTTTTTTGTCTTGTTATTCATTCTTTTTTATTTTTAGTTTCATTTCTTATCATTTATACTTCCTGTATCATATTAGGTACCTTATATAAGATGGGTATTCAGAGCAGGTGGCTGACCCTTATGACTAAATTTATCTCTTCATAATGTTTCTTTGGATTTTATAAACTGAGAAATCATTTCTAATGCAAATGTCTCTTTGGATTGAATTAGACATTAATCCATAGAAGGAATCCACCTTAATTGGTAACGGTAAATTTAGCTTCTTGACATCTGATAACAGGCCTCTAGGGAATTAAGAAAATACAAGTAGATATTGAAGGTATAAAAGGAAGGCAGTTGGGTAGTTGGGAAAAGTCTAAAGTGTTAACTTCGTAATCTTTGAAGACACGGTCAGGTTAGGAAGTATAGCAGTGAGACTTCACTGGCAGAGGGACAGAGAGATGTGACAGAGTGAGAAAGATGTCAAAAGAGAAAATAGGAGAGATGGTAGACCCTAGAGACATATTCACCCAGGTTCAGCCTTCTTCTGAAATAATATCGCTTTCTCAAAAGACTTCATTCTTCTCCATTGACTACGACATCAGCTAGAATCAACAAAACACAGTAGTTGAATACGATGGCTGTGGTCAGGGAAAATACCCAGAGGAATTTTAGTGAAGCATGCTGTACACAGAATTTAACACTCTCATTTCTTCTCTCCCACAGGTTTTCTGAACCAGATGAATAACTCAAGTCACTCTGTCCTTCAGCCTTCATTCCAAGGATGCATGCAGCTCATTCAAGTGGATGATCAACTTGTAAATTTATACGAAGTGGCACAAAGGAGGCCAGGAAGTTTTGCGAATGTCAGCATTGACATGTGCGCCATCATAGACAGGTAAACAGTCTTTTCATCCTACCTCCAATTGTCCAAACTTTCCAAATTTATGTTTTTGTTGTGGGATGAGTGAAACACACACACACACACACACACACACACACACACCCCACCCCTTAAAAGGAGTAAGGTGGGAGGAGCCATTTGCCATGCCTATGGTAGCCAGCCCTGGTGGTCTAGTGGTTAAGATCTGGTGCTCTCACGGCTGCAACCCTGGTTTGCTTCCAGTCAGGGAACCACACCTGTGTTTCTGTCGGTTGTCATATTGTGGCGGTTGCGTGTTGCTGAGACGCTGAAAGCTGTGCTACTGGGATTTTAACCACCAGCAGGGTCACCCATGGTGGACAGGTTTCAGCAGAGCAGACTAGGAAGAAGAATCTGGCCATTCGCCTCCAAAAGTGTTGGCCGTGAAAAGCCTATGAATAGCAGTGGAGCATTGTCTGATGTAGCGCCGGAATCACCCAAAGGTGAGAGGATGGTGCAAAAGACCTAGCAAGGTTCCTCTCTGCTGTACACAGGTTCGCTAGGAGTCAAATCAACCACACAGCACTAACAACAATGGTAGTATATTTGTGATATCAGCAGTGACATTTAGATCAGAACATGGATATATATGATAGAACAATCTGTGATGTCACCTTAGTCCATCAACCTCCCTCAGTGGATGTGAGCGTTACGCAAACAGTTTTGCAAGCAACAGCTGAGTTATAAAGGAACTCAGTTTATTTTTAGTTTTGCTTCCTATGCCCACAAGCAGAAATGTCCCTTCTCTCCTTGTCTTGGTCATGACTCATCCTCAGCATGTTGTCCCTTCTAAAGCCCCTTCCTAAGAGAAAAGAAACATGAAAAGTATTGTTGGGTAGTAGGGAGATTCACTGAAGGAGAATATTTAATGTAATCGAGTCTGCTTTTAAAACATACATACTAAAATATTGCAAAATCTAATCTTTATTAGTTTTTGCAAACCTGGGCAGGAGCTTTTTATAAAAACTTAGTTGACTTCTTGCACAGGGGAAAGATACAACTTTTATATGAAATATTACGACAGCTTTACATATACTACCTTAATATGCTTCTAAAAACTACCTTTCATTCTAACATAAAATAGTTTCATTTTGAAATGTTTTGTTCATAAACAGACTATATCTAACTATGAGTTGAATTTAATCTGTGGAACTTAGGTGATTTTCTAAACTATTTTTGAATCTTTTATGAGAAGGCTGACGTATTCTGAAAAATAGTTTCATTAATTTTATATTTTGGAAGACAAAACTTCTATAAGTCTTAGGGGCTGGCCCGGTAGTGTAGCAGTTAAGTTCGCACTCTCTGCTTCGGTGGCCCGGGGGTTCGTGGGTTCGGATCCTGGGTGCCGACCTATGCACCACTTGTCAAGCCATGCTGTGGCAGGGATCCCATATAAAGTATAGGAAGATGGGCATGGATGTTAGCCCAGGGCCAATCTTCCTCAGCAAAAAGAGGATTGGCAAACTAATGAAGTAAGTTTACTTCCATGTAATCTTAATAAAATAGTATTCGTGTGAATGGTAAATTATAATTAATGATGGCTATAGAATGTAACTTTTTAAAGCCTTAATATGTTTATAATAAGACTTGGTGACACAGCATAGTGCCTATTTCTATTACATATATGCAAATACTTGTCTTGAAAGTCTAAATAGTTTATATTTAAACCGAACATCGAACAATTTTAATAGAAATATACTCCTAATTTTTGAACCATCAATAGTGTAATAGCTATTATTTCTGCCTAAAGCAAGTGGTAGCAATAATCAGAAAAACTAAGAGATGAATGTTTTAAAGTCATATGTTCTTATATTAGATGTTTATTCATAAGGTTCAATAATTGTTTTCCATACAGATTTTCCATCTTAGTAATAGTTATGCAATATATTGAGATATTTTAGCACATCATCCATTTTCCATGTCAGTAGCTTTAATGATACAATAATTTCTGATAATAATACCCAAGTTAGTTCATTCAGCTTTTGTAAATAGGCCAGATTTTAGGGTGATGTTGCTGTTTCACTTCATACAGTGTGTTTCCTGGGAGTTATATTTAAATTGTTTGCTACCAAAGAAGTACAGGTGAAATGTTGAGATTTTAATGTTTACTCTCATGGAGAGAATAGGAGTTAAATTGACCCCAAACAAATGAATGAGATTTTGGGAAATGAAGCGAGTGGAAAATGGCATTCCTGGTGAGAACAACACAGAGAAGGTGGAGAACACGGAATGCAAATTTCAATTTTTGACAGAGCCAGGAATATAAAAAATATTTTTTTGCCAAAATGGATCAGTCCCATTGTCCAGTTTGCCAAGTGTCCTGTAGCTGACAGACCAAGGAATATGTCTTACTTATCCTCTAGAATGATAATGCCGAAGAGCAGCCATGGGGAAGTAGTCATCTCTGACACATCTCCACAAATTTCCTAAATCCATTACGGAATCTATTTTCTGCTTGTCCTATTTTTTTGAGGACAAAGACTTCTGTACATTAATTACCAATGTATGAAATAGCAGATTCCTTTATTTACCTTAAATGTTCCCAGTTCAAAATCTTAATCTGTGAGGTGTTATATTTTTGTATACATGATATGAGACTATATTCACCTTATTCAAACCATTGAGGCACACTGATGATTTCACCCTAATCTGTCTTTCCATCTGAGAGTACCAGTGGTTCTAGCCTGTCCTCAAGTAGTCGTGACCCATGAGATAACACTTTAATGATACATCCCTAGCCCGTCCCTGGTTTAATTTTTTCGCTCACAAACTGAAACTTTGCAACTGCCTGATTGCTACCATTTTGTTTTCAAACTACCTAAAATCTCTCAGAGTAAGCCTACACTGGCTCTTTCTTACTTTTCTCTTTTCAAATTTCAGCCTGATTGATTTGAGAGCTATTTTTGAAGAAAAAAAAAAGATAAATGAGAATGTAGGATAAAAAAACATAAAAGCTACCACTGGCTTGATTTTGATAAAATGTTTAGAGATAATAGGAGCAGCTGCAATGATCTGATGAGTAGAACTTAGGGAAATGGTTTGGGGAAGATGATTCTAAAGGAATTTGGCTGTGTGTCATACTGGAATACTCTATGATTTGAACTTATTTTTCTTTCTTTGTGTGTGGATTTACATGTGGCTTGTTTTGTTTACTTGTTTGCTTTCTGAAAACAGCACTAAATCAAGGAAAGAGCAAGCAAGCCAAGCTACAGAATTATTCATTCAATAGTGTTTTCTGAGTGCATTCATCATGCCAGCCACTGTTCTAGGCACTTAGGGTAAATCATTGAACAAAACAGGCAAAGATACTTGTACTTGTGAAGCTCACTTTCTGGGGGAAGGGGAGGAAGAAAAAATAAATATCGCAGTAAGTTAGAAGGAATAAGCGCTATGGATAAAAAGAAAAAAGTAGAGCAAATCGAGGAAGGCTGGCATTCCGAGAGGTTGAGGTGTTGGGTTGCAGTTTAAATAGATTGGTCAGAGTTAGCCTCATTGAAAAGAGGACCTGAAAGAGATAATAAAATTTGGCTAATTTTGGGAAAGAGCATTACAGGCAGAGAGAATAGTCAATGCAACGAGGCTGCCTGGCATGATCTGGTGTCAGCAAGGGGCCAGGGAGGCAAGTTTGGAAGTACAAGGAGCATAGTCATGGGAGAGGAGGCCAGGTCTTGGAGACCTCTAGGTTATTGTAAGGATTTGGCTTTTATTCTGAGGGAACTCAGGAGCCATTGCAGGTTTCTGAGTAGAGCAATGACATGATCTAGCTTACATTTTAAAAGGATAACTCTGGATATGGGAGGAAGAAAGGTGGAAGCAGGGAGCCTATTATAGTAATCCAGGAGAGAGATGCTGGTGACCTAGGATCAGGATGCTAGCACAAGAAGTAGTGAAATGTGGTCAATTCTGAATAGATGTAGAAGGTAGAGCCAATAGGATTTCTTGATGGATGATATATGGGGTGTGAGAAGAAGAGAGGAAATAAAGATAAACCCAAATGATTTGGAAAAAGCAACTGGAAGGAAGAGTTACCCTCTCCTCAGATGGGAAGGACAGTGGTAGAGAAGATTGGGCAGGGAGTTGAGGAAAAAATTCAGGCACTCAGTGTTGGGCATGAGTTGAAAGGTCTATTGGACACCTAAGTGGAAATGTTAAGAAGGCAGTTAGATATGTGGATGTAACAATCAGATATCTGCAGATTACACAATAAGATGTTGTGTCTGAAGATTGCCATGTTTTCCTGTTGAGGTCCTCTGGTTTCTTTAGCTGTATTCCGTAAACAGCTGTAGAACTGCAAGGGGAGAAGGGGAACAGCAGAAAGGAAGCCTCTTCCCACATCGGAAGCCTGTAGCTTTACCCTTTGAGTGATACTCTGCTCTTGGGGAACAGGACCTTCATTAAACCCTCAGTTGCTAGAATATTCTCTGAAAACAGTGAAATACACAGTAGATAAAACTTCTTTGTTTCTCCTTGCATGATTACCATCTTTTATCCACTCCTAGCACCCTTACATTGTTGGTTCCTTGTGGCAAGTATCTTTTGTCACCTGACTCAACTCCTATTCTCAACCTGCTTCTCTCTATCCTCTTTCTAGGTGTGAAAATCTAAGTGCCAAAAACCTGCAAAACCACTCCTACAACTAAAGTTAGGTCTATTCACTTCCTCCCTCAAGAGAGAACTACAACAGAACCACGGGGCATCTCAGGGGGAGTTGGGCAAGAGGGCAAAGGCTGGTGGAGGGAGAAGGGCGGGAGTCAGGGAACGGTACTGGTGGGCTTGAGTGAGTCCTAGGAGGGTCCTGGCAGGTATTCGTCAGAACTTGTAAACTAAGAGAGTTGCTGCAACAGATAGTAGGACTTGTGAATCCATGCGAGTTATTGTTTGATTCATTTGTCTATGATTCTTATCCAGGACGCATGAGATGAAGAAGCTGGTGTTAAAATATTTTGAGTTTCAGTAAGTGGTGTTCGTGACTGGTT